TGATGTGTTCAAATGTCCATTCATATGTATGATGTGTTGAGCTGTTCATTCATATGTGTTTGATGTGTTCAACTGTCCATGCATGTGTGTTTGATGTGTTCAAATGTCCATTCATATGTGTTTGATGTGTTCAAATGTCCATTCATATGTTTGATGTGTAAATCTTCAGTGTTGATTTACAGTTACTAAAAACCGTGATTGATTGGAGTTATTTTGTGAGCCTAGATGAATTTGACTTTAATATCTCTTTAAGGTAGTATAGTAGTAAGCGAATTAATACATATGGACCAACTCTGCATTCATTTGGAAGGCTGAAACTGCCAATGCTCAGAACAAATCAGTCCCTCAGCATACAATCAGACATACAATATCAGTAAATAAAAACAAAAACCAATTTATGGTTAAGTTGCAATAGTTTATGTTTTATATAGAAAACTGGCACAAATAAATAGGTTTTCTCGTAATTTGGCACACTCTAATGATTGCATTCACCACAACACAAGACACGTTTATTAATACAAGCTATAAAAATAATCACCTTCAACTTTAAAGATACTGGACATAATTTAGGCAATACTCATCACAATACAGTAGTTACTCTAATAGAACATATCATAATTATATCATTAAAATTGGACATGGACATCATCTGTCATTTACGTAAGCGTATACGCTACTGACAGACAAAATACAGTATTTACAGTTTATACTTGTTCCTACAGTAAGTTTAGAATGTTAATATTCTGACAGCACCTAATCTTATTTGCATAGGAGTGAAGTTTCTTGAACAGATTCTATGCCCAGATAACCTGGATATAAAATCTAATTGCACCAGGAAACCAATATATGCATAAAGCTCCATTAATTATGTTGTGATAGTATCTCTCTAATAATTAAAAAGGTATTTTCTGATACAATAATGGCTATATACATAAAATCAGTAAAATATTTAAAACATTTTCGACACCTTAAAGCGAGGGAGTCAGATGGCCATAGCGTGTCACTGTTAACAAACAAGTGTCTACCTATGAGGTTTGGCGTTTTTAGCGTGTGTTGTTATTATCGATTGGGACTCAATTTCCGTGCGTGCACAGGTGACAACCCTCCCGTAATAGGACTATGAACATAATGAGATTTCACATACAATGTATGGGCATTATTGTTTTGTTTGTTTTTTTAATCATGTAATCGTAGCATTTCATTTTAATCTGAATAATCAATAGCAATTGCTTATTGAAAATCAGTTACGGTTTTTTTATTAATTTGTTTAAAACTGAACAAATAACGCCTATATGGTACAAACTTGATGATGTTGTGTAACATAGCATATATTTATCATAATGGTATGCAAAATATGAAAACAAAATATTGGACAACCAAAAATTGATGTTTTAACTCTATAAGTGATGTTTGCATACATATAAAATGAACAATTTACCCTATGTGTATCATTATTCATTATTATACCAATTTAAAAAAAAAACATCAAAAAATTGACACACAATGCAGAAACTAGACTGTTGTGCAAATGCTATAAATTTTTAGGCAATATGCAGGGAAACACAGGATTTTTTTTGAAACATGGTTAGCATATTTTTTTTCATGATTTAGATACAGCAACTTACAAAACTTATTAGGTATATATCAGTTATATTATATATTTAGATTTAGAAATCCTCCTCCCTTTTATTTCAAGATAATAGGCAGAACCCCAATCAACACCATTTTGTTGATCATGATCACATCACATCACAGTATTTGGCCAATAAGCCGATTAAAACAAATTTGAGCATGATCACATGACAGTATTTGGCCAATAAGGAGATTCCCAATTAAAACAAATTTGAGCATGATTACATGACAGTATTTGGCCAATAAGCCGATTCCCAATTAAAACAAATTTGAGCATGATCACATGACAGTATTTGGCCAATAAGCAGATTCCCAATTTAAACAAATTTGAGCATGATCACACGACAGTATTTGGCCAATAAGCCGATTCCCAATTAAAACAAATTTGAGCATGATCACATGACAGTATTTGGCCAATAAGCAGATTCCCAATTAAAACAAATTTGAGCATGATCACATGACAGCATTTGGCCAAGTAGCAGAAACCCAATCAACAATAACTTGTTGATCACATGCCAGTATTCAGCCATTCAGAAGAACCCAATCAAAACCAAACAGTATTCAGCAAATAACCTTGGAATGCTTTCAGTATAATGCATAGACTCAGTAAAAAAAGAAAGATAACACAATATATATAAGGCCACAACAAATGCATACAGCGTAAATTAAATGAATCTATATTAATAACCAAGTCACATAATTTACATATTACATGATAATATTTTGTAATTATAAATCAGCTATTTTACAATATGTATCAATATCTACATACTACGGTACATATTTTTTTTAATATCTATAATCTGCAATCACACATTATCAAATTATCTGTGGTATCAAAATGCTCTGGACGGCAACAATTATTATCCTATTGTTAGTATACGACAGTGTCGTAACTATTGCAACTTGACATAGGCAAAGAAATGAATCTGTAAATGTTATTTTAAGATATATGTACGGTCTTTGGATGGATGTTCTGCAGATACAGGGATTCTGGGTTGTGTACGGTCGACGGAATTCCACGTAAATGCAAGTCCTTATTAATTTTGTTTAAAGGATGTAATGAGGCAGAAATCGTCCTCGGCGCAGCATAGTGCTTCTGCACATATGATCCACCTTTGTGGGGGGTGTAGCATGATCCATATGTAGTGTTGTACATGTCACCGTCGCCTTCACCTTCACTGCTTTGTACAGCTCCATCTTGTTGTTGCCACTTTGACGATTTCCTAGCATGGAGACCAAAGTTGGTAGGAGCACCTGTAAAATGAAATTTGAATTTTATAAACTGAAGTACAATGATAATGACAAAGAACAAGAAATTAAGCAACAAAAGTTGTTCAGTATTTAAAACAACACGAGTTATCTCATCACTGTGTTGTATGTGGCTATATACGGTACATGTATGGCCGACCAAATCAAATACTAAGGCACCAAAGATAATTGCTGAATGACTGAGTTATTTGATACAGTCGTAGCCGAAATGCTTTTGAATTTCATGTTAACAAACAAAGTATAATACAAACGCTGTATAAGTCGCATGGGACCCACAATAAACACAGTGCTGCGAGTTAAAGTTATATACTCAGTGTTCAACTATATTATGAAGTTATGAATTTAATAAGAAACTGTCTTTGTCGTTGTTTGATCAATGTTGATCCACCTCAACTCGTTTCACATAACTGTAACAATTTTAGATACACATAATTTTTTCAAAAGATTTACCAGGACTTTTAGCTAATTCTCGGGATGGAGCTACATCACAGAACGTTCTATGTTGCTAAGACGCACACCACTAATATAAACAAGCAGCCTCTCGGCTGAGATAGCTTCACTGTTATTCATCAAAATTAGAGAATTAGTGATATCATCACGAAATGAACAAATCTGAGAGAGGTGTACCTGTAGTACTGATATGTATAACATAAAAGCAATCAGACTTGTGATTTTTAACAAGAAGTCGAAAATATCACTTTTTATCCAAAAAAGACAAAAATATTCATCAAAATTAGAGAATTGAAGATATCATCATGAAATGAACAAATCCTAAGAGAGGTCTACCCAAGGTACATATACACCAAGTATCAAAGCATTCAGGCTTGTAGTTTTCAAGAATAAGTGAAAAAGTAAAACATTGGACGACGGACAATCACTCATATGACAAGCTCCACTCGACAAAGTTGACAGCAGAGCACAACAAATTAAAGGGAAATACATGTGTATATAAAAAGAGGCAAAATATTGCTCCAAAATGTTACTGAAGAAAAAAAATTGCATTCAAAGTGGTAAAAACAAACTATATAACTCACCCTGTATTGGATAATCTGTTTTTTCTGGTACCCATGCCAACTGATTTCCATCCCAATGCCTCAACGCTGGCAGCTTGTTGTTTTCATCTCTCTCGCGTTTATTGTAATGCTCGTCGTACCATGAAATCATGTTATTTGAATAACGGTTGCCATGGTGTGAGAATATATGGTCTTTTCCCATTCCCTGCTATAAGTAAAAGGAAGTAGTTAGGATTAAGAATGCAGTCAAGTGTGAAACACACGATCAGTGATAATGGAAAAAAAACAAATAAATAATTGAAGTGTGTAAAAAACAGAAGATGATGATTCAGTTATGGGCGTAATGTAATTTCATCTTGGGCTGCTAGGCTTGTTAGCCTGATGTAGGCATGAGTAGCGCCCTCGCCGACTGTATGCCATCAGACCTCACTAATGCCTGACAGAATAGTGTATGTCTTGTCGGCAAGATCAATACTGCGAATTCACATCATCAAATACATCAAAATTTCATAACAATACAGTTTATATTAAGCAATTTAAAACTGTTTTTTTTTTTAATTTATAATAAATCGTAGTTTTAAATTTACGTTATTACTCATCATGTGAGGAAATCTGAACCAAATTACAATTTGCATTCTACTATAATCCACACAAGGTGACCTGTGGTATTAAAAATATTATTAAAATACTGAGATAAATATTTGATACAGAGAAAATCCACCCAAAGTAATCATGTACATGTACGTGAAAGTCCTAATATAAACCGGTTTATAATACAATGTATCAATTTAAAAATTGGTGTCAAATACTCAAGTTTGAGGTGCGGTTTATATTTCCTAAATATTGCAATAACTAAATGGGCATGGTCATTTTTTCCCACAATACATGCACAAAACAAACAATACACATACAATCTCTTGAATAGGCGTCACTCTAATTTTGGCGTTAGGGTAGAGTGAAAGGCCTTAATTTGGTTCTAAAATAGGAGTCACGAAATGTTGTAAAATTACAGTCAATCAAAAAAAATGTTCACATAATAAAAAAAATACTGTAGAATACTTTATTTTCGCTTGCAATTTATTTTCGCTGAAGGCATGATTCCGTGAAAATAAAATCCAGCGAATATACTTTTTTTCCTATATTTTACATTAAACTCATCAAAAATCAGTGAAAATAAATTCCAAGCAAAACGCCCAAAAAGCCTTTTCAGTGAAAATTAATTCCAGCGAAAATAAAGTATTCCACAGTACTATATATACCTATTATTAGAAGTACATTTCCAATAAAAGCACACATAATCCAAGAATGGCATTTAGTG